GAGCATTTTCCGCTTAGGGTAAGCAGAGATAAGCAATTTGATTGGTTGATACTTTGGGGCACGATAACTCTCTTCCTAATTGAGCTAGAATGTTCAAACTTGGTGTATGTGTTGATTAGGTCAATGCCTTGATGGAGTTCGAAGATGAGCATTTTCCGCTTAGGGTAAGCAGAGATAAGCAATTTGATTGGTTGATGCTTTGGGACACGATAACTTTAGTTCTAATTAAGTGAGATTGATGAAACTTGGTGTATAGATTTATTATATGAATACCTTAACTAAGTTCGATAATGAACATTTTTTGCTGAGGGTAAGCAGAGTGATAAGCAATTTGATTGGTAGAAACTTTGGAACACAATAACTCTCCTTCTAATTGAGGTAGAATGTTCAAACTTGGCATAGGTGTCTATTAGGTGAATGTTTAAACTTGATGTATATGTAGATGTTCATTAGGTGAATGTCTTGACTGAGTTCAATAATTAACCTTCCGAGCTGAAGCTAAGCAGAGCTAATCGATTTCATTTGTCGATGGTTTGGGACAAGATAATCTTGATTCTATCTGATAGAGAGTGATGAAACTTAGTGAAAAAAATAAATGTGCGATTAATTAATATGTGTCATCTATTTATTTTGCAATTTCGGCGGGGGACATCAGCCTCACTGTTGGCTTGTTAACCATAATATGGACAATCACATTTTGTAAATTTTGGTACATTACTTGTCATGTATAGATGGACCAGTGTTAGATGGACCGGACTGTCTCTAAAGCAGGGTTATAATGCCTGCAAATAGATAGTACCGCAAGATTACACCTGAAAGCCCGAAACCACGCCCTCGTCTACCAAACAGGATATTTAATATTCAATATATTGAAGTAATGTTAATACGAAATTTTGGGGCTACTGGTTCCTAAATGTCAGCAAAAGTTGCCCGAATCCTGCATATAAAATTACCAATATTTAGTACTTTTAACCAAAGTGTAAATTAACATTGTGGTGTATTTTTACAAGAAATGTAAATTAACATTGTGGTGTATTTTTACAAGAAATGTTAATCAACATTGTGATGTATTTTTTCAAGAAATTTAAATTAACATATTTGTCTTTCTACAGTAAAATGTTAAATAACTAATGGTGTAATTACCTATGATTTAGGGCCAACTTTTGATGCCTGTAATTTTAGGGTAATATAACCAAAATAGTTTTAATAGTGTATGCTCTAAGTAAAATGGACACTCCAAAGTGATTTAGAGCTGTACATGTTTTTGACAAATTTAACATCTTACCAAAAGGCATATTGATACAAAATTATTCAAATTCATTAATCCATCTTGTTTTCTCTTAAATCGCCAGTGGACATCCGAACGAACATAGAGACCCACATTTTTTGTTTTAATTGTCTAGACACCTTTGTAAAGTACATTTTAAAGCTTTAAATATGTAAAATTGTCATTGGTATTCTGATGCATTGAGGATTTATATGACTAGTGATAATTTTCCATGCAATGCAATGTCAATGGTCCACCTAAACACTTGTATCAAAAACAAAATACAAAATTATTTATATGACTGAATGAATGAATGAAAAGGGGGTCAACGTCCTACTTTTCTGCACCAACCGAGATAATGAAGACTATTTAATTAATTTAATATTTATTAATAACATATTTGTACACCTATCAGGGTTGTCAATCTGTTTAGTTAGAAATATTTGAGGTTATCATTCGAAGAATCATTGGTATGTCTACATGTTCTATAAAAACCTTTACTGTTATCTCTCAAAGACCTACATACTTTTTTCTGAACTTTATTCTTCGATGAAGCGATAATCTTATAGTTCTCAATATTTCATGCACTAATTATAAGATATGGATTAAATAGGGTCAAACAGACAAATCCTAACATAGATCGTGAACTTGGAAGAACCGTTCTGGTATTTCAACCGGATTCACAGCTGTTAAGGACACGACATCGGGCGACTAGAAGGAAAGCGTTCCAGGATGTACACTAGTAATCCTAAAGGCATAAGAAACAAACCGAACGCTTGGCAATTAGCAAAATCTCTTCCGTTTCAATACACATGTAGCCATACAATCCGATTAAAATGCAGATCTATATTTCGTTTATACTTTCGGAGATAATACGGACGGCTTTTGACCCTATAACGTCAGATATAGATTAATCAATCAGCGTTAACGTTTCTATTGGTTTACATACAGTTCCGTACATGGCACGTCAAGAACTCGCCGTAACAGACCGTTTCATTGGCTAATCCCTCACTTCAACCAAAACGCCGGTAATATAACAACTCCTCCAGGTTCAAGTGTAGTAAAGGCAAGTAAAACGAAATTTTGAATTATAATAAACGAAACAAAATAAGATCTGCGTTTCAATCAGACTGGTAGCCATAGTGATATTTACTAATTTTCATTATTATGTTTACAACCGAATGCAGGCCAAAACCTTCATTATGCTTTTACATTTTTGGTCATTTGTGGATGTAGTTTCGCTTACTGAGTTCTGTAACATATTTTTATGAATTTCAGGACCTTATTTTCGCTTGAGGATTATTAACAATTTGATTTATTTCGCTTCAAAGGGTCTGTGTAAAACCATAATTCATACAGTGTAAATTAGTCATCATGGCAACAAGCCCTGTGGCGTATTATTATATCATCGATATGTCAATTGGGTATATACTAATTAGTTTCGTAGAAACAAAGACACACGCCATCACATAATATACACAAATAGAATATATTAACCACACAAGAAAATCACAAGGAAATTTGTCGACCAACAATGGGGACGAGCCCGGGAAATCCTGCTTAGTGAGCAAGCTGATCATTTACACAAATGAGAGAATGTTAGCTTTTTTTACATACCATAGACTGGCAGTTCCTCTCAAGGGGTGTATAATTTCTATTTATATAGTTTGTGGTTCGGTAAATGCTTAATAATTTATATAGTTTGTGGATAGGTAAATGCTTATAAGAATTATTTATATAGTGTGTTGATAGGTAGATGCTTAAGTATTTATATAGTTTGTGGATAGGTAAATGCTTAATAATTTATATAGTTTGTGGATAGGTAAATGCTTGTAAGAATTATGTATATAGTATGTTGATAGGTAGATGCTTAAGTATTTATATAGTTTGTGGATAGGTAAATGCTTGCAAAAATTATTTATATAGTTTGTGGATAGGTAGATGCTTAATTATTCATACATATAGTTTGTGGATAGGTAAATTCTTACAAAAATTATTTATATAGTTTGTGGATAGGTAAATGAATTATATATTTTGGGGATAGGTATAGAGGCTTAATTATTTATATAGTTTTTGGATAGGTAAATGCTTAATTATTTACATAGTTTGTGGATATGTAGATGCTTAATTATTTATATAGTTTGTGGATAGGTAGATGCATGCTTAATTAGTTATATATTTTGTGGATAGGTAGATTCTGAATTATGTATATAGCCTATATGTGGATAGGTAGATGCTGAATTATATATGTGACAGTCAATGTCTACAATCAGGCAATGTGTACAATGCCTGAAATATACCAGTCAATGTGTACATTGCCGGGTTAGGGTTAGGGTTACAAAGGCATTGTACACATTGCCTGATTGTAGACATTGACTGTAACATATACATAGCCTATTTGTGGATAGGCAGATCCTGGAAATATTTATATATAGTTGTGGATAGGAAGATACTGAATTATATTTATATAATTGTTGTTAGGTAGGTACTGACAAATATATTTAAAGATATTTCCAAGAAGAAGAAACTCGAGCGTAAAAATCTCGCAATGTGTTTCCCACGTCTTATCATTGCATGACTTTTGTGTTTTTGTGTGTGGAATCGACTTTCTTATTAGCTAATTAATCTGTTCTCTAGGTTTCGATTCTCTGCTAAAGACCCCTCTCTCTCTCTCTCTCGTTTGAATAGCAACCATTAACTAGACGAAATAGATGATATATAGGAAGTTTGACACGCGCCACTTGACCACCGCAAGGCGTTTATATATATAGTATAAATTGACAATATTAGTTCACGAAATGTATTTATATTTGGAATAGCGACCAATAGCTAAATGACGTAGATGATACATGAGATCTTTGACACGCGCCGAAACTTAATGTTGAATTGTCAATATTATTTTATGAAATGTGTTTATTTTATGAGCGGCCAATAAATAAATGAAGATACACGGGGTGTTTGACATGCGCCGAAATTTTATGTTCCATTTGACCTTCTCAGGGCGTTTAGTGTTAATTAAATATTATTTATGAAATGTGTTTATATTTGGTATTGTGACCAATAAATAAATGACGTATAAGATCCATGGGGTGTTTGACATGTGCAGAGACTTAATGCCCCATAAATTGCCAGTATATTTAATGAAATCTGTTTATATTTTGAATAAATAAATGAAAGAAAATATACGTGGCATGCGAGAATTAACGATCCATTTGAACCTCTCAAGGGGTATATATAGTACTCTATACGTTTCAATGTTATTCTGATACTTAAAATCGTTTCTGGCTGTAAGGATAGCACATGGTTTTAACTGTGTTGTGAACTTGGGAGTACAAAACACAAGGCCTAAATATAGCCTCTATATGAATACAATTAGTCATCTGGAATCAACCCCATGGAATACAAATAAAAATATAGGTATTTTAAAGTTCATGGGAAATAACGTATGTTTAGAGTTAATACGTTCATTTAACGACGCTTCAACTTCCTCACCCCATGCATGTCTAAATGTCTGATATTTAAGCAGTTTCTACCACATGCATGATATCCGTCACTATAGATAGCACTTTGTCAACTTTAAGCTGAGATATTCTAGAAAGGCGGAAGATATTTGGGCGCTGATTTATTAGAGCGATGTTTTAGAAGAAGCTGAAACTATCTGGTAGGCTGTGAAAAGTCAATATTTTTTGCAAAAACATTAGTCGCTTCTTATCAGTATTTGCTTTCGTTTTAGGTCTGATATGTTAACGGGTATATTGCGGAAACTTGAAGGTAAAGATAGCAGGGTGCCTCCTAACTTTGATAACGGTAAGAAACATTTATTATATACAGTTAATTGGACGACTACCTACAGACCTCGTGATTTGATAGTTTTTCTCAAAGTCAATATCCAGCTTATACTAGTTGAAGACTTCCGCGAGACCTTTTGATCGACCAATAATGGGCTACATCGGCTTTAACTTTAAACTCAAACCGTGACCTAGTTTCTCTTTTCGGAACGCCATGACTTAGATAATGATATTTGTTGGCTAATTCCATATCCAGGTTACGCCACATGAGTTTTAACTTCAAACTAATTTCTCTTTTCCAAAAGAAACGACTTTGATAATGTCTTACATAGCGCTTAATTCAAGTAATTGGCAGGTTTAAGGAGCAACATCCTGTGTGAAATAATGGTAATTATGATTCAGAGTGCTATACACAGAATCTTTTAACCCCTATAATGCACATGACCCCTTTATGAGAAAATCAAAGACATTTTTTTTTATTCCATTATCTGTAATAAAACATTTAAAGGCATTTGAATTATTATGTTAAAGAACGGTAACTCAATTGGTGGTAGGTAATTGTAGATATATTTAAAGATCCCAGGTGATTCACTTATAGGCCTTCTTACATTTGGATAGCTCGGTTTGTTTATATGTCTCACTTAATATTATGACAACGGGGACTGCATCTTTTGAGCAGTGGTGGTATGTACAGAAGGGTCATCGCAGTTAATGTATTGTCACTGGTTTGCCAATACAGATCACTTCATTAGTTGATGCGTCTGAGATGTCCATGCTTATTGAAAATTCGTTGGAGCAATATAGCCCAGTTGGTACTGGCGTGTCATGAAACGCTACTTCATTTCATTTGTTGAACATTCCGCCGAAGATCTGGTTTCTGCCGTATATGGAAAGAGAAAAACATTTCCATTTACTACAATATGATGAGATAATAGATTATTTATAGATTATAGGTATTTTAAACCCTACATTAATATATAATCTAAAACTGTCTATAAGGTTACACTAACAATTTCTTTCAGATTTACCTACAGTTGTTCAATGTCAGATTTTTGTGGACAGTTTTGATTCTGTTAGTGAGGCAGCAATGGTAAGTCGTTTATCATTCATGTTTGTGGTTTTGCATCACTGCCTAATTTGGTAAGAGGTTTTACTAAATATGTTATGGCTTCCATGGATTTATTGAACATTAAGGACATATTCAAAGTGTTCGGGATTTGCAGGGTTCTACTAGTCACCGATAAGAACTAACAACAGACTTTTTATCAATATCATCCAAAGTATTGCAAAAGTTGATCGACAAGGAGAGATGTTATAGATATAGTTTACATATATCTAAAATTTAAATGATTTCATAAAATATTGACAAAATTCTGGATAATTGAAGAAGAAAGCCCGTTAATTAATAGGCCTGGGAGTTGCATGCTCATTAAACCATGCCATGTTAGAAGCTACAGAACGCAGAACATAAGATAAAGCGCACATAAAATAAGATTATATCGTAACTTCCAAATAGTGGCGAATGTTTGTTTTACGCAAAGACTGTTTACTGCTGCAAATATTTTATTCATTCGTTCTTTGGCCCTAGTGTCCTATTGGTTGTGTGATTTTACTTTCGGGTAGATTTTTTAAGGGCTCTAAACCTTAACTCAATATGTTCAAATTGAAAACACGAATTAGAATTTGATATTGGCCCACTTCAATCAATATTGATGCTGTTATACAGTGAAAATATGGGATCTTAATATCCAATATTTAAAACACAATGAATATGTTAAAATGAGCACACGAGTCGTGTATTCCATGGTTTCGGATGCCATCTATATAGAACAAAGAAAATCATACCCTACAAGACAATGCGGAAGTAATAATTAGTAATGGCTGATTCAAAAACGACAAAATAACAATAAAGAAATGTGTAGAATGGACTAATCAGGCGTAAACGACTGTCGTTCAATTTGGTCTGCTCGCATATTTCACCGAACATAATTAATTAGAAATTACAATAGATGTGTGAAAAATTTAATACAAATCATTTCATATATACATGTATTTACATTCATGTTACATTGTGTTGTTAGACTAATTTTCAATTATTTTAAGGTTCCAAAGATTTGCCCAATAAACGGGTTAATTTATCCTCAATAAACTCAGCCCGTAGTACTTGCAAAAGAACATTTCCACATTAAGGTCTTGGTATTTCCAATATAATACACGGACAATTCAGTTTGGTATCTTTTTTTATGGAATGGTAATATTGTTGTAAATTTGGATGGATGATAAAATTGTATTTTATACACGGTATTTTTCTAGGATTATTCAGTTAGTGTCCTGATGGAGCTCTCGTGGATACAGCCTGATTTGTCTTATAGTTTTGAGGTTCCAAAGATTTGCCCAATAAACGGGTTAATTTATCCTCAATAAACTCAGCCCGTAGTACTTGCAAAAGAACATTTCCACATTAAGGTCTTGGTATTTCCAATATAATACACGGACAATTCAGTTTGGTATCTTTTTTTATGGAATGGTAATATTGTTGTAAATTTGGATGGATGATAAAATTGTATTTTATACACGGTATTTTTCTAGGATTATTCAGTTAGTGTCCTGATGGAGCTCTCGTGGATACAGCCTGATTTGTCTTATAGTTTTGAGGTTGATTATTTTGAAATAGACAATAAACACATGGAACAGATATGGCTACCAGACATTTATTTCCCCAATGAGAAGATTGCCGCATTCCATAAAATAATGACACCAAATAAAGTAGTCAGATTGTACGCTGATGGACGATTGTCATTCTATGCAAGGTATATTAATTTATTAAAGGAAAATTCTACCCATTTCACTTTCTTTGTGGTATTAAAACAGTTTTAACAATATTCAACCCGAAAAGTATATAGAAATTCGCCCGTGTATCTGTTATCGCACGTTTCTTCAGTCATGTTTTCCTTTTGCTTTCGTCACTTTCTATTCTTCAAAATTTCTTTACGCATCTATCGTAGCAATGATCTTTGTGTTAAAATTATATTTGGAACGTGTTTAACCAGTTTTATCACATACCAATATTGTCCTTTAAGCCCCCGTTAAAAGAGAACTTAAGATACCGTGCCATCCTTGGTAACTTTTATTAATGACTTTCGACCGCTGCGAAAACAAAACTGGATATAATTGCCGTGAACGTAAGATATAACCATGCAGTTATAGTGTTTTAGAATAATAATAATAATAATAATAATACAGTATTCTACTTAGTTTCTAAATATTTTGGTAGAAATTGCGTTCCCTACAACAAATACTTCATGGGGTCTTCAATAACCTACATACACTCGTTCCGATGAATTTAATATCATAAGTATTATTTATGGGGCCTCGGATATCTTGGAAATATCCCACAAGGATTCCATATTTTCTAAATAATTTGACAGATATTGCGATCCTTACAAAAATTTCAGGGTCTTCAGTACCTTGCATTATTATTCATGTGTGTCTCTGATGGCTGAGATATACTATTCAAAAAAAGTAGGGGATATTTGATTTTGGGGGCATAATACTAAAATATGCAAATGGCTACGAAAAAAGTCACTACAGAACCTAACAGAAGAAACATTTCCAGTTACATGTGACGCCCAAACGCACCAATAGCTACCGCATGGAATGCAGGTGATGCTTGGGATCATCATGGGGGTCCAACCCAAGATTTGCACGACTCTGACTTTGAATGTTACAGTCATTGTGGCATTGAATTCCAGGGTGGAAACATCAGTTTAATTGTTTTAGTGACCAGAAAACAAATTTTGATATGCGTCGGCTTACCCAAAATGAAAGGTTACGTGCCCTTGGCATGCTACAGATCGGCACAACACAGGCGGTTGTGGCGCGGACGATGAATGTTTCTCAGTCTGTCATAAGCAGGCTATGGTCCAGATACCGTGATACACAATCTGTACAGGACAGACCACGCTCAGGTCGACAACTCAAGCCCAGGATCGATTTATCCGTACCTTGGCCTTGAGAAATCGTGTCATCACAGCAAATCAGATCAGCGCTCGTCTTCAAACAGACACTGGTGTGAGAGTGAGTGGCCAGACGATTCGGAATCGACTGCATAGGGGTCACCTTCGCGCCCGACGTCCTCGCGTGATCCCTTGTTTGAGAGATCATCACATTCAGGCAAGACGTCGTTGGTGTAGGGATCGTCAACACTGGGATAATCGACGCTGGAGCAATGTGATGTTTTCAGATGAGTCAAGGTTCACTGTTGATTTTTTGGACAGACGTAGGAGGGTGTGGCGTCGTCGAAACGAGCGCTTCCAAGACGTTAACGTCATCAGACATGATCGATTTGGGGGTGGTTCTGTTATGGTGTGGGGAGGCATCACTGTTGCTGGAAGAACGGCTTTACATGTTGTTGCAGGGCGTGTTACAGGCCAGTACTACCGGGACAACATCTTGGCAGTCCATGTTGTGCCGTTCGCACTACGTCATGGCCGCCGTTTCATCTTCCAGGATGACAACGCAAGATGTCACAGGGCCAGGATCGTTACAGGTTACCTCCATCAACAGAACATCACCACATTACCTTGGCCAGCACTGAGTCCCGACCTCCCCTCCATCGAGCATGTCTGGGACATGCTTGGACAGAGGTTACGTCAACGTCAACAACGTCCTGCCAATGTCCAAGAACTTGCTGCTGCGTTGCAACAGGAATGGGACAATCTGGACCAAAATGACCTTAGACGTCTCATTAGGAGTATGCCACGTCGGATCAATGCTTGTTTGGCAAACAGGGGAGGATTTACCCGTTACTGACTTGGTTGTGATGCTGTGGTAACTTTGCTGTTTGACCCCGGGTATCATTTTACCCTTATAATGGTCAGTCTGTGCCTTACTTAGTCTAACGATCATTTGGAATAAATCGATGAATGTGAACTTCATTTCATTTTGTCATTTCTTTCTTCGTCCGTTTCATTAGGTGACTTTAATAACACTTAAAAATCAAATATCCCCTACTTTTTTTGAATAGTATATTTGGTAGGAGTCCGTGTTTTTGTTTTTGTACAACGCGACCACTGATCTTGACATTTGACCTAACGAAATTTTTTGTTATTTTATCCAGGTTATCATTAACTATGTCGTGTCCAATGAATCTACGAAAATATCCATTTGATAAACAAATATGTGCCCTACAGTTAGAAAGCTGTAAGTATGTTACTTAAATTAACGACAGTGAAACCTTACTAATTTGACACTACAGAGAACTTGTTACAATGTCGGTTTAGCAAATTGCTAGTCGTACGTACAGTGCACTAATGAGAACTTAAAATGTTATATTTTAGTGCTATATTATATCTAATTGATTAAGATAAGTACACCAATTGGCAGGTATGTCTGAAGTGTGGTGGTTGAAGAAACCTGTTAGAAATGTATGGTAATGCATATTTGGCCATACTTTTAGCACCCATCAAAAATCACCGAGCATTCCCGAACAAATGAAAACTGGTGAATCTGGTAAAAATGGTACCTCGTTGCGTGTGGGGATTCGCGATTCATCCAAGTGTAGGGGCGGTTTCGTGCCTTTGGAAGACCGGAGCGGGCAAAGATCTCTTTAGACATCATATTGGTTTTATACATCAGATGCGGCTCTCGAAAGGACGAGAGACGTCAAGCGCAGGTCAATTAACGTTGTGTTTTTTTTATTCTTGATTATTTATGATTGTGGATATAAAGGTATCATTCGAAATTCCGAATGTATAGAGTCAGGGTTGACTTCTAACTTGTGCTTGTCAGCTATTGTCGACGGGAGAGTTGGCAATTTTATGTTATGACGTACATATACTACTGGTACTATTACGCAATTAAGCCATGCGAACGAATTATACGAGTTTTACGTTTGAAAGCCTGTCCACAACAAGAATTAATTGACAGGCCTTATGTATAATAGCGATATATCCATACCACATGGAAATATTGTTTCTGATTGTGCATTTCAGTTGGTTTTGATAGAGAAAAAGTATTACTAGAATGGGCTAAGAATGAAACACCAGTAGCTATCAATGATCATATTATTCTACCACAATTTGAAGTGGTTAGGAATGAAAGCGGTCTTTGTGCCAAATCCCATCCGCGACTAGGTAAGATCATTGTTTTCATTAGATTTTAACGTGTGAAATCCACCTATCGTATTGAATACAAATTGTCTTAATTCACTGATTGGATTGTCTTTACCAGGAAGATAGATTACACAGGCGTTTGAAGAGATTAAAACCACGATTGCTTTCTATTATAAATATCTAGAGGTATGTCATCCGCTATCGTGAATCTGGAAGTTATTTTGGTCTCCAGGTCCCTCTAATTCACCATCTGTCATTAACTATAGTTTGAGACTTGGTGATCGGATATAGCTTCTAGTCGAAGGAAATTAGTAAAGAAAATAATCTGCTAGCGCGTAGGGATCTTTAGCAGTGGGTGGGACCGGTGGACCCGGAGTACCCGGAGAAAACCCACGAGGTTAAGCAGGTGATCCCACTGCTTGTCACGTACTAGCTTGGGATTGAAACCACACCTTATGACATACCTTAAGATCTAAAGCGCGGCCGATATCCCCCACCTCCACTCAGCATGTTGAACTGAAATATGTTATTTCGTGCATCAATATGTACATGTGTGTATCTTCAACATTTATGTCCCAACTACTTAACTTAGAAATCTTAATTATAAGTTAGTAAAGGGTACCTCGCTTACTCTTTTTTGATCATCTGATATCATTTTTCAATTACGTGAGCGGTTCACACAGCTAGCATGGTTAAATATACCTTCTGCGTATTACAAATCTTACTAATAAACACGTATTCTTTCCAGGTAACCACAGTTGTTTAGAAGCCAAGTTCCATTTGGAGAGAAATATTGGCTATTACATCATACAGATGTATATACCTAGCATACTTATCGTCGTCATTTCCTGGATCTCATTTTGGTTAACTGTGACGTCAGTGGCGGGAAGAATCTCATTGGGTGTTTTAACGGTTCTGACGATGACGACACAGAGTTCAGGGGTCAATGCCTCGTTACCTCGTGTATCGTACACCAAGGCTATAGATATTTGGATGTCGACCTGTTTGCTGTTTGTTTTCGGTGCTTTGATTGAGTTCGCTGTTGTAAATGTTTTAAGTCGAAATAAAGAAGCTACCGAAGCGAACAGTACAACAGAACAAATTGGAGCTAAGCTGGAAAATGGACCCTTTATGAATGAAGTGAGTATACTGATTAAATTCCAATATCGCCAGACAATAATAAATAATGTTTCTAGAACATAAACGTGTCTACATGTATTTCGATGTCTATCGCTGTCGGACTACTTGGGCTTGCTGTCTTGAGTCGTTGAGGTTATTTAAGTACACTAACTCATAGTCATTGTGGCTACTCGATTGAACGTTCCGGAATACAATTCTCTCGATTGGGTGTACGCGAGGCTTTGTAGCCACACGACATACCTCAACTGAATGTGATGCTGTCACTACATCGGCACAATCGAATACCACGTGTACAAAGTGTTAAGCTTCACCTTGAGTGTTGGCTTTAACAGTCAGCTCATAACTAATTGTCACAATCAAATCACGGACAATCCAAAAGGTTCATGTGTGGCATAGACCTTTACAACAACATGCAAATCAACTGATAAAGTTTCAGAATTAACCGAAGACTATCACCTGGGCATATCAGCTCTGTGGTATTTAGTGGAAAGGAATAAGGATTCCTTGATTGCCACACTCACCAGTACCAGCCAAAAGGTGTATTTCTGTTGCCCAAAATAGCCTGGGTTAAATGGGTTGACCCCATAATCATGAAATCAAAATCATAAAAACGCGTGCACCAAGGAATGTTAATAACAAATTTGAAGCTTCGTGATTTATGTATATTGTCTTTCAGACGATGGTTATGATTGGGGGTGGAGTCAGATTTGCTGAAGAAGAGAAGAAAGCAATAAAGAGGATATCGGGTTTACAATGGGCCCAGCTGATGGATAATATTTCACGATTTCTCTTCCCGTTTATATTTATATCATTTAATATAGTTTATTGGACGTATTATTTAACAACCTTTGGTGAAGAACTATTTATGGGTGGTATATAGTTTCCGATTGCGGACATGTGATCAAAACGCTTGATTACAAAGAAAATGAGAATATTGTTAGCTCTGAAATCCTAATTTTAATGAGATGTGGTATCAAATGTTCTAGAAAGAGTAAGCATATACAACACCCGCCAAGAATTATAGATACAACTTGGATCTGAATTATGGATGAAACTCCAGTAGGTGTATTTCAATAGAACAGAGAAGACACTCTTCGTGTGATCATATTTGTAAATATTATTAACTATCTAATTACAATTAGATTACAATTTCGTTTCGTTTATTTGGTTCTGATGTTGCACTACTTCTATGACCACCGTGTTCTGCAAGAGACCGTGGTAATATTAGCTTGTTATACTCTAACAACAAACCCTGTCAGATACTTCAAATTCCCACATTTCAGCTCAGACAAATACGATTATTGGTCAGTATGTTCTTTTTATCTGACCGCCAACTTTAAAACTAATTAGATCTTTATGTATAAAAATTAAAACGAAACACAATATGCATAAACTGACACTATATCTGTAAATCAGTGCTTTGGGATAATTTAACTGTTATTGTAATACACTGTTTATAGTGAATGAATGGCCAATGTATATTTCCGCAGTATTTAAATTTATATCACATTGATTGGCTTGACCAATATATACATACCCCCTATTTAGACTTGTATATCACATTGAATGGTTGACCATTGTACATAGTCCTACAATAACCCACTATTTGGAATAATATAGATCACATTGATCGACGTATGGTTTAACTTACCGCGTGCTAGAGCACAAGGTCTGACACAGAGTCAAGTGGCGTGGTTTCGATTCCGCGCTTGTACGTGACGAGGAGTAGGATCGTATGTCCAACCTCGTGGGTTTTCTCTGGGTTGTCCGGTTTCCTCCCACAGCTAAAGACCCCTTCGCGGAAGCAAATTATTGAAATAAAATTGAACCGTATTTTAGTCCAGATATGACCCAGGTTGGGCCGAGTGGACGTTAAACCCAATTTCTCTCTCTCTCACGTTTTCTTTAGTAGGAATTCCGAACTACGATCTCCATTCGACGGTATATTAATACATAAGGTCTAACGGACATCAACCAGGTGGACGGTTTAACCCACAAGGTAGGAGAGGTTATTTACCAACGAGAATGAGAATTACCATTAAGAATCATCGGCCTACTTGCCCACTTTCGTCTACGAAAATGAAATAGTTCGAAATCTCGTTTATTTTTGTTGCTCAAACTGGATATCCTTGACATACGTTAGATGTCAACTCCCTATGGAAGGGGGGAGAGAGAGAAATGGGGTTTAACTCCACTCGAGACATTTCAATAATTCCCTTGCACGTAGGGGTCTTTAGCAGTGGGAGAAAACCGGAAGACCCGGAAAAAACCCACGAGGTTGGTCAGGCGACCCTATACTCGTTGTCACGTACAACCGGGGATTCGAAACCACGCCAGTTGACTCAATGACAGGCCTTATGATACAGCGCGCACTTGCTAACCATTCGCCCCCCCCCCCCCTATGGAAGGAACTGGAAGGCTATAAATAGGGCCATTCGTGTTAATAGTCAGGGTTTACGTATGCAGAAAAATGATATTCGTATGATACTATTTTGAATGCAAAAATGTACATGAATATGATTTTATTGTAAAATAATTGAAAAGCTGTAAAATATATATGTTGCTTATTATTAATATGCTATTTATATATTATATATGTATCAATACGTACATTGAGGACATAATGCGTGAGGAAAGCCCACTCCTGCACGTGCACCTAGTGTATACATAATCATTAACAAATACCCCTTATTGTTAAATTCATAACGAATGTATATTATTATAAATTATGCAAGTAATGACTACAACTTTGATTTTAGGCAATTCAGTATTATATTTTCCGTGTTGAATGCTAGTTTCTCTGGTAATTCTAAATATTTTATGAGATATGTGTATATCTGTATTATTTAATATTAGCATAACTCCGAAACCGGATGTGGTAGTCTAGGTCTATATTACTCCCCGGTCCGAGCTACCCCTATACATCAAATTTCAGCCTCGGGACAGCCCCAGTGTAGCCGCCTGCCCCGAACAAACAGTCAAACAGAAATACAAACGGCAGTCGCAAATATTAGTATATATATTCACCATACTTTTATGAATATTAAATGGAACGGAGACCATTAAAGTGGGTTTCAGCACAATCATCTAAATTTCATCTTGGTAGGGAGGTTGTGGGGTATATATCTGGAGAGAAAATGCATCCTACGTGCTGTATTTGAAATAGGAAGAATCACGTGTCAACAGCAGAAACTGCATACGCGAACATCCAGACATCCAGTTATCATATAAAAAGTGTCTGCTTTTGCCTCCCGATTAATATTTGTTGTAGTCGAAGCTGAAATGAAATAGGGTTTAACGTCCTACTGTTCTGCTCCTATACTGGGCTAATGAAGACGGGCTACAGTGTGCTATGAGGGCAGCGGCACTATGGCCCTACTCTTATATCGAATTCCAGCTGCCAAAGGATCCTTTATGTGCACGCCAATGTATACACGAGACCTTGGTTTTTCTTCACATCCGAGCGACTAGACAACTGTTCTTGTTAGGCCCTCCGTCCTGCACCACTGACAAGAAGAAACCACGTCGGAAAATCTCGGTGAACTTTCGCGGCCAATGCAGGGATCGAAAACGCGACATCTAGGCTAGTGAGTCAGCGTCTTAACCACTTAGCCACCGTGGTCCCCAGTCGAAGCGGAGTAAAATGGTTCGAATGATCTAGAGTAGCTGTAATGTTACACATCCGAGATCAATATTAAAGACAGAAAAGGCGCATTTTAATTTTGAAAATAAAATCAAGAAGAATAGCGTTGAATTGATAGCAGAATTTGTAAACGAAAGCCAAATTCTCAGTTTTAAATGGCCACCGAAATTGATTAATTGTTTTTTTTTTTTAACATATCTTTTAATAAAATTTCTCTTGATTGGGTATGGACTAAAACGCTACATTAATCATTAATATTGGGAATCACATTCTCATCATACTAAAATTGCTTTCAAATACTAGGCCTATGTTGAATTAGAAAATTATAGTAAATACCCAACAATATAATGGATTATCTCCCTTTAATCATTGTTTTATTTTGTAGTCGAGGAATCGGCCATATTAGCACTGTCGACACTGAATGAAATGAAATGAAAAGGGGTTTAATGTCCTACTGTTCTGCTCCGACTGGGATAATGAACCCGGGCATACGCCATACAGTGTGCTGTGAGGGAAAGTTTGCCCTGGCAGCGGCACGATGGCCTACTCATATCGAATTCGGTTTTTCGTCCCATCCGAAAGAATAGACAGCTGTCCTTGTCAGGCCATCTGTCCTGCACCACTGACAAGAGGAACACCACACCGGAAAATCCCGATAAACTTTCTCGGCCAATACCTGTCGACACTAAATGAGAGCTTATATAGATATAGATATATGTATTATCAAAAGGCGTAATGTGACGCAAAGGATTATTTCTTAGGGCTTATTCGGGTTAATCGGCGTTTACATTTCCTTTTCTCCTTCAAGGTAGAATACAGTTTACTTCCAACCATAAAAAATAGCTAAAATAATTAAAACGTTTGCCCAGATATACAATTTTGGAAAAACCAAAGTAGCCGTTGTCTTGGAATAATATCAAGAAAACATAACAAATATATCGAAATCTTATTCTGAAGTATTATCATTGTCGAATAAATCGGTCAGACTCTCTTCCAATTTACAGCAATTGTGTTTATGACACCAAAATTGATCAAAGTGTCCATAACTTCTAGCCTCTACTTTCTTGTTATATATCTGAAACTATCCCGGTATGAAGGGTCTAAGGATAACATTTAGTCCTCTCAAATGAGAAACAATATAACATCGCAAATGTTCCACACAAATATCCTCGGCTAATGTGCGTTAATAATATTAACCCAAGAAGCAGTTCGATATGCAATTATCATCGTAATGACCATTTGACAGAATGGATACAGATATACAGCTATTTCACCAGAGTTAATTGATTATACTCTTGTCTTAACGGTATCATAAATATAAGACCTTATTAGACTCACGCCTATAAATATCAGGTTCTAAAGGTCGCTTTGACAAAATATCAGGATATACAATATATCAGTCTGAACAAAAAAAACTAATAAACTCCCAAAACACATTGACTGGATCTATTTAATTAGATATGCTTGTCTTTGTGTCTGACTTGGACGCCATGATAGGTTTGAATTATTACACAAGTCAAGCTAAAACTATTGATATTTTAGAAATTTCCCAATGGGCCCGATGGTACACGGCCTATAAATTTTTTAAGATAATGATATTGTTCGGTAATGAAGAAACGTGATAATTAACAATGAGATATAGAAAAGGCACGGTTTTAAACTTTTTTGTTAATATCTAAACTGTGTTCATGTACTATCGTTTATGTTTTGTTGCTCGATTCCACTATTGATAATTTAGGCATTTCCCAGCGGCCCTGGTGGGACATTGCCTAATATTTTTTTTATGAGATAATGATATTGTTCGGTAATGAAATGAAATGGGGTTTAACGTCCTACTGTTCTGCGCCGAACTGGGCTAATGAAGACGGCCATACAGTGTGCTATTAGGGAAATTTTGCACTACGGCCTACTCTTGTATCGAATTTCATCTGTCAAGGGATCTTTTACGTACACGCTAATGTGTACGCGGGACCTCGGTATTTCGTCCCATCCGAACGACTAGAAAGCTGTCCTTGTCAGACAGAACATTAATGACATATAAAACGACACAGTTTTAAACTTTTTTTTAAATATCTAGACTGTCTTCATATACTATCGTCTATGTTTTCGTGCCCAGTTGAACTCAGTCTGCGTGGACCAGTCGGCTACAGTAGGGCTTCGCCAGGGCTGACAATAAGCGTATACAGGATTGGGTGGCCGAATGGTTTAACGCCTGTGCGTTTGATGACAAGGTCTGTCCTTGGGTCAAGTGGTATTGTCAGGGGGGCCCCATGTGTCATTGGAACATTGGCACACGGGCGGCCCAGTCCGGGCCAATGACAGTCTTGTTGCCAAGCGAACTGGTTGAGTGAGTAACGGGGGCCCGACGGAAATATTTGACAATTAACAAGATCGTTAGCTGTCAATCAGAAATAATATTCCGGGTTTCGGGTTATGGAACCATTTCTGATTTCACCTTACCACCCAACGTGGAATCGTTGATATCAATTTTTTCTGACCGATGCCCCTTGAGGTTCCCCCTACCTAATAATTTCAAAACTCATCGAAAAAAGGCCACTATGTTTCACGATATTTGGAAAATAGGTCTTCATTATTTTTTTCTACAAAATATAAAAATCTTTTTTTTCTGTCACCAAATGGCTAGGCCCTCGCCGTGATGCGTCACTGCTTATAGCGTCATTGCTATTCTATTAGATGAATCCTTTATTACTGTATTCCTTACAACTAAGAAAGCACATACCTATATGTTTGAAAAAATAAAACGTAAATAAATGAACTTGTCCACTGGAGATTCGCGTCAAATTAAAATATCTATGAATATAAACATCAACGCCATTAACGTAAGATATCATAATACTAATAATGATAGTCTCTATACCATATTAAATGTACAAGTGGGGTTGGGTTGTTCTTGTGTCTACGTTGTCATAATGATTTGTCTGGTTTGGGTAACGTAAGTAGATAAAACTTTACATCATATCACGCCCGGACGACCCACGGTTATTGATAAACCCAGACTTCCAGGAACAAATCTATAAATCTTAAGAGTCATCATTGCTACATGTAGACAAAATACATAACTTGGTTTCCTCCAGGTTCCCATTTATTTATTTTCTACCATTTTATTGTAAAACAATACGAATAACGAGACAGCACCGAAGAGAATACGTTTTAATTCATAATGCGTATTTATTTCTTCATGTTGATTTTTTAGACTTTCATTGGAACTTTTTATGTCAAGAGAATCCAAGTCAAAACGTCGCCTTTAATAATTGTAACATGCTTAAGGGTGAATCTTGCGTTTTGATTGGTCAATTAGATACTGTCGATTGGACAATAATACCCCTCTGTTTTAGTAATTTCTTTTAAAATGCTAAAATAGAATGTTACAATATCGATAAACACTCCCTGTTTCGCATTTAGAGGGGTGTTATTGTCCAATAGACATCTCAGGACATGCCTATTGGACAATAACATCCCAAACTTAGGCTGCCTGTCTACAGCTAGATCCGCCTGCGAAAGACTCTAAGCTATTTAACCGACATTTTAATTCCTACATCGACAATTTTAGTCGACAATTTTTAGAAGTATTTATTTCTCTTCTATTGTCATACTGAATGTAATTAAATATGTTTATTAAGCCGTTGTGTGTATGAAAGATGTCAAACTAATCAAAGCCGAATCACAAAATAGTCCTCTAATTATTCAATATGTTGGCGCCCATGAAAGATAATTTCACAGAGGCGGTTTTGTTTGCGAAGACAAATTTAGGAGTCTCTAACCTTGTTTTGAAAGATAAACAGATTGAAACTCTAAAGACAGTTTACAATGGTAAAGACTGTATTGCAATATAACCCACTAGCACATATTATATATCGCTTTTACCGGAGTGGCAGTAGTTGACATAATTGCCATCTTGACATGTGTTTACATAAAACACCCGCTTCGGGTTTTTTTTACTCTGTTGTGTATACAAAGCAATCGTCCAGTCGATACGCCCCGCCCCAAAATGATCACGTGAGCGTTTTAAATGGATGGCATTTAGGGCAGTGATAGTATTCTCGAAGTATGACTTAGATGGATTGCTGCGTGCAGTATGGGACAATAACACCCCTCTAAATGCGAAACAGGAAGTGTTTATCTCCTAAACAGTAATTGTATGGAATAGAATATTGTCCTGGGTATTTTTGTTACTGTGGTAGCGATCAGCCGCTGCAAAGATTTATATGTTCAAATTATATCGGGAAGTGCATTAATTATGTTTCACTGGAACAAATAGTCTAGTGCTCGAATTACAGACGATAACATTTTTACCGCCAGTGGCCGTTCGCTAGCGTACGAAATAATATTTTTAAA